AGATGACAGTGACTGCCTGGCTTGGCCCAACTGAGGGGCTGAGCCAAGGCATGGAGGACACGTGGACTGTCCTCCAAAATCTGTATCCTGGTCACACCCTTCTGGATGGGCTGGCTCCTCAGACAGGACTCATGAAGAGAGATTCTTCTCTGGCCCCGCTCTCCTGTTTGCCCAGACCCTGAGACACTCCCTTTAGCCTTTCTGGTGCTGCCTGTGTCTGGCTCCCAGCTGACCCCTACCCCAGTGTTGTCTTGGCGCTTCCCATCGCCTATTTCCCGATCTGGATAATGGGATTGGCTGTCACCCAGAGCCTGGTGGTCAGGGAATCTGTAAGACCAAGGCTGGGGTCATTGCCACATCCTGGGGTGGACGGTCCTGGGCCCAAAGAGGTCCAGTAGCCAGGACTAGTATTGAATAGTGGTCATTTATATGCCTTGCTACCTGTCCAGCCTGCCTCCACCACAGAGAGGTTAGGCCTTTACCTAAGGGAACCATTCTCATACTGAAAAAAACCACAACTCTATTTTCAGTAAAGGTTTACACAGTAGTTTAGGTTCCATTCAACAATTTCTAGATAAATTGTTCAGTGACATTGGTCACATTCTTCACGGTGAATGGACCTTGCAAAAGTTGTTCGGCTCCATTCCTAAGTTTCTTACCCTCACTTACTTATTTTGAGGAGTCCCTGGGTGGTGCAAAAAATTCAAGTGATTAATGCACTCAACTGTTAACAGACCCAAAGGTACCTCAAAAGAAAGGTTTGGCTCTCTGCTTCTGTAAAATCAGTCATTGAAAACTCTACCAACACATTTCTATCTAACACTGTCTCTAATATGGCGGTGCATCCATGGGGCAAAATTGGCTCCAGGGAATCCTGGAATATTCATAGGCATACCGTACTGCACTTCACAGATTGCACTGTGTGTGTAGTGTTCTCTTATTGGCAGTTGTGGTAAGCCAGCTTGGAGGAAGCTTATCAGAGCCATTTTTTCCAACAGTATGTACTCATCTCTTGTGTCTGTGTCACATTTTGGTAATTCTTGCAATATTTAAAATTTTTCATAATGTTGATGTGCCGTTGGCACGGTAATCACTGGACTACCAGCCACAAGTTCGGTGGTTAAAACCCACCAGATCTTCCTCCGAAGCCCTAGACAGCATTACACACTTTATAGACTAATGTCTCGTTGCTCTTAAGTGCCTTCGAGTTGCTTCTGACTCATAGCGACCCCTAGGTTTTCCAAGGAGCAGTTGGTGAGTTTGAGCCGCTGACCTTGGGATCCAGACTCCAATGTATAGCGTCTGTGTACTAGGAGATCAACAACAAAAATGACTCATGTATTGCGGTGGGTCGTCTGGAGCCCAGTCTGCAGTATCTGAGGTCTGCTTTTGACTGTAGAGCACTTGAAAATAACCCATGCTGGTGTCTGTCCCAAGGCTTAGCAGAGGGTGATTTTGAGGTCCTCCATGCTCAGTAAACATCTGTAAAGGACGCCCCCACCTCACCCTGAGCACCACTTGTTGTTTGTTAAGTGCTGTCGAGTCGATTCCGACCCATAGCGACCCTGTGTAGGGTTTCCAAGGACCATCCATTTTTGTTCCCAGTTATCAAGGGAAGAATAACGCGCGCAGATAGGACTGGGATGTGGCGGCCCGTGGAGGGCTTGGCTGCCTGCCGAGGGGGAGCAGCTTTCACCGCGGGGGTGGAGTCTGGCAGCCCGCAGAAGGGGCGTGGCCGGCGACCACGCAGCGCGCAGGAGGGAGGGGGCGGGCCAGATTTAGGGGGCCGGGCGCTGGGGCTGGAACAAAGGCGGGGGCGGGACGAAGCTCAGCAGCCCTTCCAGCCCCACAGGGGAACAAAAGACGCCCGGGGCCAGGCTGCTGGACGCGCCAATGCTGTGGCCACGTGCGCCCGACTTGGGGGTGGGGGGGCGATGGATGGTAGGCAGCGCCCCTCATCCTGCTTCAGGACTCTCTCCTTCGCGTGTGCACACTTGGAATATCTGGGCTCCGCGGACCCTGCTGGCCTCCCGCCTCCTCCAGGGAGCCGAGGACTGGAGGGTGCACTGAGGCACTGCTCATCATGTGCGCCTTAGTCACACCAGGGTTGTTCCTCCTGCAGTTATATTCAGACAGGATTTCCCTCGCCCCCTCTCCTGTTGAGCAGCATTTTACCGTTTTCTTACCCCCCTCAGCCCTGGTGTGATGCTGTGTGATAAACCACTGGACCGCAAGGTCGGCGGCTCAAACTCACGAAGCGCTCTTTGGAAACCCTATGTAGGGTCCCTCTGAGTAGGAACCCACTCCATAGCACTAAACAACAACCACCCCTCAGTCAGGATTCCCCTTCCACAGGCTTTCCGTGTCTCACTTAGAATTGCACCCAGACAGACCCTGCTCCCAATAGGATTCCGATCTGCCCTCCTCCGTTTTCACGCAGAATTACACACACTGACCTTGTTTACCCCCATAGACAAGATCCCAACACTCCCCTCAGGATTCCCCACTGCACACATAACCTGTTTCTACTCTCTCGGGATAACACACATAGATCCTGCTTTCCTCCTCAGACAGAATTTCTCCTTCCTGCGCCATGGATTCCCACACACATCCTCAGGATCATACCCACAGACCTTGCCTCCCTTCTTAGACAATCTGCCTCACCCCTCCATTCACACACACACACACACACCCTGTTTCCACCCTCAGCTAGGATTGCACACTTTGTCCACCTCTCTTCAGACAAGATTCTTCCCACCCAGATCCTGCTCTTCCCTCAGGATTCCTGGAATGCAGGGGCCCAGCTCCCTGAGTAGAGATTTACTCCCACTGTGGAGGGCCTGGATTTCTCCCTGGAGCACAAATGGCAAAGCCTCAACCTTAGGAGAAGGACTGGCGAGATGGGGAGGGAATACTTTGAGGGGGCCCAGTGGAATTTCATGGATTTGCTGTTTCTTAATCCCTTTCTTGGAGTCCTGGTGTGGCGCTGTGGGCTAATGCGTCAGACTACAAAGTCGTTTAAAGCTGGTGGTTCAAGCTCACCAGCTGCTCCTTGGAAACCCTATATAGTGTCGCTATGGGTCGGAATCGACTTGACGGCACTTCACAACTACAACAACAACCCCTTTCTTGTTGAGTTCCATTGAGTTGGTTCTGACTCAAAGTAACCCTGTATGGGGTTTCCCAGGAGCAGCTGGTGGGTTTGAACAGCCGATCTTGTGGTTCGCAGACCAGTACTGATTGGGGCCTCCATTTAATTAAAATGGCTTCCTGTGTTTCTTATATTTAAATAACAACAAAAAGATCCAGGATCATAGTCTTGGGGGACATCTAGGTCAACTGGGATAATATAGTTAACAAAACAATGTCCTATATACTACTTAAGGAGCGATTGGGTTCTTAAAAGCTTGCTACCCACGGACACCAACTGCCATCCAGTTGATTTTGAGCCTCGGACCCTATGTATGGGTTCCGACGCTGTAAATCTTTACTGGAGCAGAAAGCATCTTTCTCCTGTAGTGCAGCTGGTGAATTTGAACTTCTGACCTTGTGGTTACCAGCTAAAGGCATAAGCAGGGCTACTTACAAAACTTGCTAGCACCATCTAATCCGTAACTCTTTTTCCCTCCTTATCTGGAGCAAAGAAAAATGAAGAAAATCAAATGCTCAAGGAAACGATTAGTCCAAAGGCCTAACGGACCTTGAGAACCTGAACCTTCACCACCCCAAGTCCAGAAAAACTAGATGTCCAGCTACCTCTACAGATAGTTCTAATCAGGATCACAATAGAAGGTCCTGGATTGGGGGGCGGGGGGGACGACTGTGAAGTAAAACTCAACAAAAAAAGAACAGGCTTATTAGTGTGATAGAGACTTATGGAATCTTCCAGACTATGGTCCATACATATCCTTCAAATCTAAAACAGAACTCACTCCCCTAGATCAAGTTTTAGCCCAACAATAGTCTTTATCAAGTGAACAATAACAGGAGGGAGGTACACATTCTTTAGAACAATCAACCATACAAGTCCAAAAGGGCATTTGCCAAAAATCAAAGCTCAGAAGACAGGAAAGGATAGGAAAGCAGAACGAATAGAGACGGGAAAACCCAAAGTGTTATTACGTTGAGGGGTTTGCAATCATTGTCAGCAAACAAAATGTGTATAAATTGTTGAATGGGAAACTAATTTGCTCTATAAACTTTCATCTAAACAATAAAAAGTTAGAAAACAACAGGAAGGAAATGTTACAGTAACGGCTTCATTGACACAAGCCTGAAATAACACTTTACTGGGGGCGGGGAGGGGGGGAACAAAAAAAAGTTGAAGCCCAACAGTCCAAGTTGGGCAGTCTCCTCCTCGGATTGGGACACGCCCATAGGCCCCGCCCCACCCAGGCAGTTTTGAGGACACTGCGGCTGGAGAAGTCTGGAGCCCACGGAGGTGCGGCTTGAGATGGAGGCGCCCCACCCGTCCCCTCTCCTTCCCCGGCTGCCCATGCACATGCGCAGTACGCCGACCGTCCTTAGTACGGTCTGGAGGTGGGGCTGGGGGCCAGCGCGTAGCACGCTCTAGGAACGCTGCGTGCGCCCCGCCCGCCGACTAAATTGCGGCAGTGACGTCCTATGCTCTGCCAGGTTCACGCGAGCCGCGCCGAAGGGGTGCTGGAGAGCTGGGGGAGAGCGTGAACGCGTGCGTATTGGCTACCTCGCCTTTGGTGGATGGCTCAGACCCCGCCCCCTGGTCGCACGGCGCCCAGCACGCGTGCGCGGAGGCGTCGGCGCCAGTTATTTCTGTCCCGCCCCCCGGCAGCGGCTCTTTCTGCGATCGAGCGCGCGAGCGAGCGGTTGTGCGCGTGGCGCGGGGCGTGAGGGAAGCGACGGCGGCAGTGCGCGCGGCGAGTCAGGGGACGACGATCAGACAACCGCCGACCGGTCTTCGTCAGCGCCCCGTGCGCGGGGGGCAGCAGCCCAGGCGGCGCGCAATAGCGCTCGGCCTCGCGGCGGCCCAGCCGTTGGCGGCGAGCGCGTCTGCGCCTGCGCGTCTGGCCTCGCGCCCCTCCTCCCCCTGGGCGCCCCCGTCGGCGTGTGAATGGCGGCTTCGGCGGCGGCGGCGGCGGCAGCAGCGGCCTCGGCCGCTTCGGGCAGCCCAGGCCCGGGCGAAGGCTCGACTGGCGGCGAGAAGCGCGTCGCCGCCTCGTCGGCTGCGGGCTCGGCCTCGGCCTCGGCCTCCGCGTCGTCGCCCGGGGCTGGCGGCGGCGAAGCGCTGGAGTTGCTCGAGCACTGCGGCGTGTGCCGGGAGCGTCTGCGGCCCGAGCGGGAGCCTCGCCTGCTGCCTTGCTTGCACTCGGCCTGCAGCGCCTGCCTCGGGCCCCCTGCGCCCGCAGCCTCCAACAGCTCCGGGGACGGTGGCACCGCCGGGGAGGGCGCGGGTGAGTGCTGGGGTCCGGGCCCGGGGCACCGGAAGCGCCCCCGGGGGGAGGGGAGGAGCGGGGTGGGGGTGGGGCCTGTGCTGGGACCCGAGGTGGAGGGAGAGTAAGGGGGCGCCTGGGGACGCGAAGACTAGGCCGAGTGTGAGGCTGGTGGTGACCTGCTGAATCTCATTGGTTTTTCTCGCAGTTACGGTTGATTGCCCCGTGTGCAAGCAACAATGCTTCTTGAAAGACATCGTGGAGAACTACTTTATGCGTGATAGCGGTGGCAAGGCCGCTACCGACGCCCAGGATGCCAATCAGGTGTGCCTTTTGTCTTGGTCATTGCTAGCTGGCCTCTGGCCTTGGGTAGGCCCATGGAGGGGGTTGCCAGACCAGGAGGAGTGGTCTAGCACTTAATCGTCCACGCATCTGTTGGCTGGGGGCAGGCTGCGTTGCCTTCATGTAAGTTTTGCTCTTGCCTAGCAGTGCTGCACCAGCTGTGAGGATAATGCGCCGGCCACTAGCTACTGCGTGGAATGCTCCGAGCCACTATGTGAGACGTGTGTGGAGGCACACCAGCGGGTGAAGTACACCAAGGACCACACTGTGCGCTCCACTGGTAGGTGGGGCAGAACAGGTGGTGTGGGGAGCACTGCAGTGTCTTGGAGGGGGAGGAGCCCAGGACAGTAGACTTGTACAGATTTGCTAGTGGTCACATTGCATGGCTGGACTTAGTGCAGTTTTCTAGGTGTTGCTGTCTGTAGGGTTCCAAGAGCAAGACTTCTTGAAAGGTAGGGCTGTGGTGTGCATGTTTTAGGTTCCTAGTAGAAGGGGAGAGGCTGGGGATGACCACAGTGGACCATTTCATGCTTCAGGGTATAGTCATAGAGGGTGGTAGTAGAAGAAGCTACGAGGGGGAGAGAATGTGCTCTGGAATAGGGCCTTCCATGTGGAAAGATAACTTGGAAGAGATAAGTGAGGTGTTTGGTGAGGGATTCCTTGGCATCCTATCTCAAAGATCTATTGGGGGAAGTAAGCCTAAGGGCTAGGACGTATTGTTGTAATACAAGGAACTGGGTTATCAGCGACTACATGTCCTAAAGGCACTTTATTCTGGGAGATGGTAGTGTTCCATCTTGAGTTCAGATGTTTTTCATACACTGGCACCTAGGTGGAAAGAGTCTTGGGAACAAATCTATGCCTAGCTGTTTAGTTTAGAATTTCTTGTGAAGCAGGCTTTCTGGAGGCATTGTCTGACTTTTTTTTTTTTCTTGGCTTAGAAGATATGAGTGAAGCTCTGGCTTTTTATATTTAGGTCTTGGCATATGCATTCAGTATGCAGTTGATGTTGAAGGGGTGGGTATGGGAACAGGTCTGAGTAGCTCTCATGAATGGCGGTGGGGTTCATCTTGAATCTTGGGTGTCTATTCTCTCTCGGCCATGGGAAGCTTTCCGAGTATGACTTGATGTTGTGCAACACCCGTTTCCCAGCCTTTTATCTATGGATTTTAAGCGACTTGTGATCTTAGAAGGGAGGTTGCTCTTGGTGAAATAGCTGAGTGAGCGCAGCAGTATTTAAACTGCTAGTTTGCTGTTAATCGTGCATTTGAGGATATTTAATGTGCTATACGGCAAAGCTGGTTTGAACTGCAAGGTCGGTGGTTCAAGCTCACCAGCCGCTCCTTGGAAACCCTATACAGGTTCGTTCTGGGTTGAAGTGAACTTGGTGGCAGTTAACAATGGTGGGTGGACATATCATGGGTGAGGAGAAAAGAAGGGGAGATGCATTGTTACTGCATTGCGGAGAGCAGCTTACATAAGACGTTTCTAGAGGAACTGTCACAGGGAGGCGACTTTTCAGCCAAAAGTCCTCTGTTAGGGTTTCTCCACTCAATTTTGATACATAGGGGGCCTTGTCCTATAAGGGCTTCCTAGGTGGTAATCTTTGTCTGAGTAGATTGCCACATCACCTCCCCCCCCCTCCCCCCCACCATCACACATACTACAGTCACTGGGTGAGTGAGAACTGCACCATCAGGTTGTCTTGTACACCAGAGGGAAGTGTGAGGTGTATACTGGTCAGGTTGGGGCTGAGGGTGCTTGGAGCAAGGATTGGTTGTGCTCCCTGCCTCTGATCTTGCCAGGAGTGTTCTCTGCATAGCCCTCAAGGTGGCCTAACTTGCTTCATCCCACAGGACCCGCGAAGACGCGGGATGGTGAGCGCACAGTGTACTGCAATGTACACAAGCATGAACCTCTTGTGCTGTTTTGCGAGAGCTGCGACACCCTCACCTGCCGGGACTGCCAGCTCAATGCCCACAAGGACCACCAGTGAGTCCCTCCCTTGCCAGCCTAGGGTGAACAGGACGAGCCTGTTTCTGTGCTCAGCTGTTGGCACTCTTTATCCTCCGTTCCTTGTTACCTCACAGGTATCAGTTCCTAGAGGATGCGGTGAGGAACCAACGCAAACTGCTGGCCTCATTGGTGAAGCGGCTTGGTGATAAGCATGCAACACTGCAGAAGAGCACCAAGGAGGTTCGCAGCTCGTAAGTGGAGGTACCCGGGCTCTGGAGGTGTGACCAGTCCCCATGCCTGCCCAGTCTCACTTGCCTACCTCACACTTGCCCTTAGGATCCGTCAGGTGTCCGATGTGCAGAAGCGTGTACAGGTAGACGTCAAGATGGCCATTCTGCAGATCATGAAGGAGCTAAACAAGCGGGGTCGTGTGCTGGTCAATGATGCCCAGGTGCCTACGTCTGTTCCCTCCAGGGAGAAAGGGTCACAGCCTCCCCCCAACCTCCCTACTGATCCTGATCCCTGCTGCCACCCCTGCAGAAGGTGACTGAGGGGCAGCAGGAGCGGCTAGAGCGGCAGCACTGGACCATGACCAAGATCCAGAAGCACCAGGAACACATTCTGCGCTTCGCCTCATGGGCCCTGGAGAGTGATAACAACACAGCCCTGTTGCTCTCCAAGAAGTTGGTATGCTGGCGGTGGGGAGCGTGGGCAGCAAGTGGACGGGCCCGCTGACCCAGAGCACTCACAGCCACCTGTCCCTCCCTGCCCAGATCTATTTCCAGCTGCACCGGGCTCTCAAGATGATCGTGGACCCTGTGGAGCCACAAGGCGAGATGAAGTTCCAGTGGGACCTCAATGCCTGGACCAAGAGCGCTGAAGCCTTCGGTGGGTCCTGCCTCGGTGTCTGCCCTCTTCTGAACCCAGGGGCCCGGAGTTTTGCTTTCTTCTTGCTTATGCTTTCTCTCCCTAAGGCAAGATTGTGGCAGAGCGCCCAGGTACCAACTCCACGGGCCCCACAACTATGGCCCCACCGCGGGCCCCTGGCCCACTCAGCAAGCAGGGCTCTGCTAGCGGCCAGGTGAGTGGGGGAGGGGATTGGTACATGAGTTGGGTTGGGGGAGAGGTGCATGGGGTCCTGAGGACCCACCTGTCTGAGGTTCCTTGCTCTCTGTCCACAGTCCATGGAAGTGCAGGAAGGCTACGGCTTTGGGTCAGGTGAGTGGGTCAGCTTGTGTCCAAATGTTGCCTGTGGGGAGACTGGCACTGTTCCCGCCCAACATATGTTCTCTTTGCTCCATCTTCCAAGCAGATGACCCCTACTCGAGTGCAGAGCCTCATGTGTCTGGTGTGAAACGGTGAGCATGGTGGTTGTCTGGGGTGGCACACAGGCCTCAATGGTCAGCTCGTTTGGTCTCATTGCAAGTTGTGCCCCACAGGTCCCGCTCTGGTGAGGGTGAGGTGAGCGGCCTCATGCGTAAGGTGCCTCGCGTGAGCCTCGAACGCCTGGACCTGGATCTCACAGCCGATAGCCAGCCTCCCGTGTTCAAGGTGTTCCCGGGCAGCACCACAGAGGACTACAATCTCATTGTCATTGAACGGGGTGGTGCTGCTGCGGCAGCCACTGGCCAGCCTGGGACTGCGCCCCCGGGGGCCCCTGGAGCCCCACCCCTGCCCAGCCTGGCTATTGTCAAGGTGAGTGTGGTCTGTGGGTCAGTGGCTGGAACACCACAGGGCGCCAGGCACTGCGGACTGTCCCCATTCCTTTTCTACTCACAGGAGGAAGAGACAGAGGCGGCCATTGGAGCCCCACCTGCAGCCACTGAAGGCCCGGAGACCAAGCCTGTGCTGATGGCCCTGGCAGAGGGTTCTGGGGGGGAGGGACCCCGCCTGGCCTCACCCAGTGGCAGCACCAGTTCAGGCCTGGAAGTCGTGGCCCCTGAGGGTGCTTCAGCTCCAACTGGTGGTCCAGGCGCCCTGGACGACAGCGCCACTATCTGTCGTGTCTGCCAGAAGCCGGGAGACCTGGTGATGTGTAACCAGTGCGAATTCTGCTTCCACCTTGATTGCCATCTGCCAGCTCTGCAGGATGTTCCAGGGTGTGTGGCGAGCTTGGGGGCTGGATGTGGGGCAGGGTAGGCCAGTGGGGGTTCCTCTGTAGGAGCCTCACTCTCCTATTCCCTCAGGGAAGAGTGGAGCTGCTCGCTCTGCCATGTGCTGCCCGACCTGAAGGAGGAGGATGGGAGCCTCAATCTGGATGGGGCCGATACCACTGGGGTGCTGGCCAAGCTTTCACCGGTCAACCAGCGGGTGAGGATCAGGACTGGGGGCTCGGGGGCTCAGTGAGGTCTTGGGGGAGCTGGTGAGGATCGGGGCTGGAGGCTCAGTGAAGACAGGGGATGATGATGGTGGTGGGAATGCCAGTGGCTCTGATATTCTTTGCTGTCTGTAGAAGTGTGAGCGTGTTCTACTGGCCCTGTTCTGCCATGAGCCGTGCCGTCCTCTGCACCAGCTGGCCACAGATTCCACCTTCTCTCTAGTGAGTCAGCCTGCCCTGCCTTGGACTGGGGAAGACAGCCAGGGGTGGATCAAGTGTTCAGTGTGTTACCCTGTCTCCCTGTCCCTGTAGGACCAGCCTGGTGGTACCCTGGACCTGACACTGATCCGTGCTCGTCTCCAAGAGAAGCTGTCACCACCCTACAGCTCCCCGCAGGAGTTTGCCCAGGATGTGGGCCGCATGTTTAAACAGTTCAATAAGCTGACAGAGGTGAGACCCGGAGGGAGTGGGGCAGGGGGTGGGGAAGAGACTTAAGGTGGAGCTGAGCGCCACTGTCCCCTGACCCCAGGACAAGGCGGATGTGCAGTCCATCATCGGCCTTCAGCGCTTTTTCGAGACGCGTATGAATGAAGCTTTTGGGGACACAAAGTTCTCAGCAGTGCTGGTTGAGCCCCCACCGCTGAGCCTGCCTGGTGCTGGCCTGGGGGCCCCGGAGCTGCCCGGAGGCCCCAGTGATGGCCTCTGAGGTTGGCACCCCCATGGCCAGCCTGGCCTGGCTCTGCTTTATCCTGTTCCCTTCCTCTCCCCTGCCTCCTGGTGGCCTGGCTCCCACTCCCTGGTGGCCCTGCCCCCCCAGCCCTTCACAATATGGTTTTTACTTCTGTGGATTTAATAAAAACTTCACCAGTTCCTGGACCTGATTGTTGGGGACTTTTGGGACTGGGTGGTGGGGAAAGGTGGCTGTAGTGGCCTTAACAAACAACCCTAGATTTCCTGTATGGCACTATAGGATCAGCATCACACGACATAGGAACCAAAAGGTCAGTGGTTCAACTCTACCAGCTGTTCCTTGGAAACCAAGAGTCAGAACCTATGAAATAAGATCTACTTTGTCTGTCCCCAGCACCCTTCAAGTCCCCCACTGTCATAGTTGAACACCCCAGGGTCCCAGCATGAGGGATGGGAAGGGTATCCAGGCCTGGGGTTGTTGGGGTCTGATGTGGCTAGGCCACATCTGAACTTAGAGGTGCTGGCCCTTGGACATGTGAATAAGAATGCACTAGGTTCTTCCCAGCTTCAAACCCCAACTTTCCTGTCTTGAGTAGTGTGACCCTGTTTCCCCCAGCTAAATCATGCCTCAACTGTATAACAATTACAGTCCCACAGGAGCTAGTGTCCATTCTTTATTCCAGCTAGACCACCCATGGCCCCCCCAAGGGTAGCAGGGTGGGGAGGGGTCAGTTAGTCCCTCCGCAGGTTCTTGAGCCGTTCTTCCAGGTCTGCATCTGCATCCGCTAGGGCTGAGGTTGCAGCCTCTGCTTTCTTCCCACCAGCAGCCACACTGAGCGAGCCCCCTATTGAAGGGAGATCTGTGGGGAGAGTAGGGGTTAGGTAGGCAGCCTCCATGCCCCAACCCCAAGAGAGGTTGCAGGAAAAGCAGGTCATTGTTAGCCTGGTGGTGGGAATGGCCCATGGTTTCAAACACTCACTGGAAAGTTCATCTGTCAGGTTCAGTCCCAGCTCGTCCAAGACCTGGGACACAACAGCATCACTGCAAAAGAAAAATGCATGTCAGGCACACCTGAGGAGTCAATGTGCTTCCCTAGTCTCCCACTCTGTTTCCGCACCTCTCCTCCTCGTCATCTTCGTCACCCATGGCATCATCGATAGCATCGTTTACCATATCCTCCTTCATGTCCATGATTTCTGCCTGCCGTTCAAATTCCATCATGATCTTTTGGATCTGGGGAAGCTTCAGCTGGACAAGAGAGTGATGGAAGAGTAAGTCAGGGCCTGGGGTTCAGCTGACCCAGGAAATGGGAAGGGGAGAGGCAGACCTGTCTGTTCATGGTTCCCATCGCCTTGGTAACGCCCTTCATGGCTTGTGCCATTGAGTTGTTGGACTTGAGCGTCTGTATTTTGAGGGACACGGCCTGGATGTTGGCCCGCATCAGCACAAACTTGCGCACGTAGCGCCGGGTGCGTACCAGGTCCTTGGCCATGATACGCACAGCATCCTGTAGGGTGGACAGAGGTTCAAGGATAGGGCCATGGGTTGCTTCCCTACTCCACAGCACCAACAATTGGGGTTTGTGGCAGCCCAACCCCCACCCAAGCACTCCTGTTTCTAAAGACCCAGTGGTCACTGCTTCCTCCCTCTCATGGGCCACCACTGCCCTCTTTGGTCCTCAACCCTACACATTTAAAGTCACTCCTTTGACTACAAATGCAAATCCTGAATGTCTTTATCCTACCTAGACAAAGAATCTGCTTCTCCCTCCACCTAAGGCTCTTTTATACAGAATACCAAGTACTTGACAAATTGGAAGCTCAACTTCTGCTTTCCTTCCCAAACCTGCTTATTCTTGCCTTACATAGCCCAGGAAATGGTGTCTCCTCTGTCCAGATGTCCAGGCCCTTGTCTTCCATCAGCTTTTCTCCCTTTATGTGCCACCTTAGGTCCCATCCCTTCTGCCTTTAAAGCAAATCTCTGATCTCTGATTCCCCCTTTCCATGCCCTCCCTACCTGTCACCAGTCCACACTGTCTCCTTTATGGCTTTTCTCAGAGGTCTCCTGGTCAAAGAACTCTGACTCTGCTCCCACCCACTGTGGCCTGTGTTTCGAGAGGTCTGGTCACAACCCTCTGAGCACACTCAGTTCCCGCATCTTGCTTAAACTTTCTCATCTAACAGTTCAGACTACTTGAGAAATTTGCCCGGCCCAAATATTTGCAGGCCATGCTCTTTATTCCCCAGGCCTTGGCTCTGATACCACTTTTTCAGAGGCGGTCTTAACGGGCCCCAAGCTAGGGAAGAACTGTTCACACTTATGTTCTTGAAGCATCATGCCCACCCTTGACCCTCTGCCAACTCCCTGTGACAGCAATGCCCAGTCCCAGTCACTGCCCACCTACACTCACCATCTGACCCTGTTTGGCCATCTTCTTAATGTCTGCGATGATTTTCTTCTCCTGGGTCTCCAGCTTCTGTCGTTCCCGGTCCAGCTCCCTCATGGCTCGGTTCAGGGCCCGCTGGTTCTGTCTCAACAGTTCCTCTGGTGTCTTTCGGCGCCCAAACAACAGGTCCATGGCAGCAGGAGCCTGCTGGCGGGCCTGGTTCAGATAAAAGGCCTAATGGCAGGGCATGGGCGCCAAATGCAAGGTGAGAGGCAGGGCTGGGATTAGGGAAGGTTTGCAAAATTCAAAGGGGTGGGTAGGAAGAGGAATGAAAAGGCAGCCAGAAGGTCACACTTGTGGGTAACCCAGGGGAAGGAGAAGGACAGTGAGACCTGAAAGTCATCAATTCCCTCCCTCCTCCATCAATGTACCACCAAAAGGCTTCTGCTTCGGTCTTGGGGGACTGAAACTGGATGTGGATGTGAATGTGCGCACTGGGGGCATGTGAGGCACTGGCAACAAGGACTGGGCATTTGTGGGGTTTCTGGGGTGTGAGTTGCATGAGTGCCAAGAGAACCTGGGAACTGATGACATACTCTGAGCATTAGGGGACTACACACACACCAAGGCAAGAATCTCTGGTGACATTCATTTGGCTGCTAACCGAAAGGTTTGCAGTTTGAACACACCAGGTTCTCCGTGGGAGAAAGACATCGCAGTCAGCTTCGGTAAAGAGAAAACCTTGGAAACTCCATGGGTCGTTCACTGACCTGTAGGATTGCTGATTCGTAATCAGCTTGAAGGCAGTGGGTTTGGTGTTTTTTGATGGGTGTGAGGGCCCCCTGTATACTCAAGACAGTCTAAGGATGTTAAATGACCCCACATATTAAAGACAGGGCAATGGACACCAGTTATTAAGTGCTGTGGGGGTCGGCTCCCACTAACACCGACCCCTGCATAGGGTGTTTTGAGGAGCGGCAGATGGGTTTGAACCACCAACCTTGCAATTAGCAGTCCAGGGTTTTTTCCTACAGCGCCAGCGCCACACCAGGGCCCCAGTGGACACCATCGTGCCCCGTATATTGAATCCATGATTTGGGGCGTTGGTAAATTTTGTATGCGCACAATAGGGTGTGGGTGTGTTGGGTAAGTCTGTACATAGAGAACAGAACGATCGGCGCCGGGCGCCCGATTCATGAGAGCAGTGTGTGGCAGCGTTAGAAGAACCTAGGTGCCAAAGACAGGGCTACGTTGGAGACCCGAGAGAGCTGAGAACAAGGGTCCCAAGGATGGGCGGGGTACTAGACATCCAAACGAAGAGAATCCCCCCGAAAGCCGCAGCCCGCCCGGGGTCCGCAGCGGCCACTCACCGGAGACGGGGCAGGCACCCACTTCCGCTTCCGGGTCACGCTACCTCTGCCCGAATTCCCGGAGCGCCCACCAACGACGACCCCTCGGTCTGTCGCTTCTGCCGCCGATGTTTCCGGATTAAACAACCTGACGTCACGCGCCCCGCCCGCGCCTGGAATGCTGGGAGGTGGCAGAACGCGCGTGCGCATTTACCCCACAGCCAGCCAGGGGGAGGCATGCGCATAGGCTCCGGTCTGCAACCAGGTTGCCTTAGGTTGTTCCATAGGTTCGATTCCCACCTCCGGATCCGCTCGTGCTAGCTACTCCTGTACTGGGATGTTAGTCACTGCAAGGGTGGAATACCGTTGGGTACCTTCCATCTAGCCAGCCCAATGCTTCTACATCTGTCTTAAGCCAGCCTTCTTCCACCTACACCAGGGCCCAGCCTTTTCCCTGCCTGTACTGGGAAGCTGCAACAGGGGTCTCACACCCTTGACATCAGTACCAGGGTAAGATTCAGGTACCCAACGTCTCATGGCAGAAGAGTGCAGAACTGGGGGGGTGGCACTTGGTGGTCACTAATTCCTGTCCCTGGCTTATCCCAGAGTCCACTTCATCCTAACCAGTCCCCATATCTCAGGCCCTGGTCCCTTTATGGCTGCCCCAGGCACTGGGTGGCCTACTGGGTGGTTCTCCAGCACCACCTATAAACTCTATACCTAGGCCAAGGCTCCAGAGGCAGGGATCTGTGATGGGTACCTCACCTACCCCTCCCACCTCATAGAACAAAGAAGATACACGGAGGCCATGCAGTAACATTCCCCTTTAATAGCCTGGTGGGACCTCCGATGGCAGAGGGAGAGGGGGGTACTAGGGCCTCAGCTACCCAGGCCCCTTGCCACTCCACCCCAGTGCCCAGAGTGGGGGGCTAGATAACGCCCAGCATGGGGCTACAGAAGCCAATTCATTTCCCATCGCTGAGCAGGTCAGGGGAGGCAGTGCCGACCTTAATCACATGGTGGTTAAAAAAAAATAATGAGGGGCGGGTGGCAGGGAGGGGAGGCAAGGCCAGGGCAGGGGACACCACCCCACTGGCCGCCACACGTCCCCCACCTGTGGCCCCCAATAAATATTTGCAGGGGACGCCTGGGCTGGTGGCCCTGGCAGGGGTGGGGTGGGCGCCAACCCTATTTCAGGCAGCGCTCAAAATAGGTGGAGCCGATGTAGCCACCCCGCATGGAGCGCTGCACATTCTGTTCAAACAGCCTTCGGTTGTTCTGCAGGACCTCGGCGGCCTCCTTGTTCAGTGGGTCCTCGGGGTTGGGTTCCTGCAGCCAGGACGGTATGGGTTAGCATGTGGAAGGGCCTGAGGGACTGGATTGGCCTCCCACTACCCAAGGCCTCATCCACCTGTACTCACCAAGAAGAGATACTGCAGGCCATAAATTATGGAGTTTATCGTTAGGACTGGCTTCCAGTCCTCTCTGTGGACAGAGTATTAGTGTCAGGGGCTACTGAGCAGGTGGCTACTTACTATGGTACCTGCTGGGATTCCACGGTCAGGCACGGGGCATGGGAGAGTAGGGATGTAAGGCTGGGGAGTAGTGTGCTCAGAACAGGACAGGGTAGTCAGGCGATGAGGAAAAATATGTGGAGCCAGCAGGGACACAAGGACAGAGACAGACCTAGAGTTCACCAGTGAGGTTGAGAGACAGGGATGACTGGGGTACAGGAGGGTAGCAGAGGGCTAGCACCTCACCTGAGGATGTTTAGGCAGACATTGCCCTCGAGGTCGATGTTGGGGTGATAAACCATCGTCTCACACTTCACCTTGGGGGGGTCATGTGGGTAACCCTGACCCACCTCGGGGGAGAAGAGAGAAGAGGTGGGTAGGTGCCTGTCAAGGCCTGGTTGGAGGCCTCAGCTGTCTCCTCCTCAGCCCAGGGAGCTGCTGCCCCTGCCTGCCTGGGACTCACCTTAAAACTGAATACAAACTTCCCGCTTTTGTAGAAGCCCTGCCAGTAGGAGAAAAGATGGTGTCAGAGTCCAGTTCTGCCTGGGTCTGGCAGACAGACTGGCTCTCCTTCCATGTAGCACGGTCACCCAGAGTCTGCGTAAGGGGACCCAGGTCAGTATAATCCCTCACCTCATCGGGACAGATAACCAGCTTGAAGTTGAGAAGGTCATCGGGATCTGAAAAGTTGATATCACAGGTCTTGGGCAAGTTCAGCTCGTTGATATCTGTGTTTGGGAAGCAGGGACATAAGAAATAGAGGAGGGCAGGTGTCAGCAGAGCCCCCATGGTTTCTGCCTGGGGGCTCATGGGCCTCATTCTGAGCCCTATACCCCCAGCCCTCTCCCTGCCCTCCCTAGTGGGCCATCCAGCACCCCTAAGATGGGAGCGCCTGAATCCACAGCACACACTAAATGTGCACCTTAAAATACAGCTGAGTCTTGGCCCATGCTGAACTCCAAGGCATATGCATCTCTCTAAGCCCCACACTTGGGTCCTCCAATCCAGCTCCCAAATGCTCCCACCTCCATGTGGCCCACCCACCAGCTTTACAATCCCATGAACCCAAATAGTCTCTGAATACCCCCAAACCTCAGGCTCCCAGTGGACAGGACCCATCCCTCCAAGACCACTGAAACTCAGGAAACCTCACACTTCACTGTGATGCCCTGAAGCCTCCTCACCTCCGTTCCAGGACTCCACCAGACTTCTTTCAGCCACCTGTCACTCCAGACCAACAAATCCCTGGCAATCCAACCCTAACCCGCCATCCTTTCCCTCTCAGCCACCTGCCACCCCAAATCCTGGTTTCAGTCTGAGTCCCAGACCCACGAGTACCCGGCCACCTACCCCTCACCCCGCACACCAGCCTGCCCTTCGGATTTCCGGGTCTTCGTATCAGACATTTAGCCTTCCTGGTCCCATAAATCTCGTATCCTTGGCCCCCATCTCTGACCTCCCCGACACCGCATCACCCCCATTATCCTACCCCCTGACCTCCAACCCCTATCTCTCACCACCGACGATCGCATTACCGCGTCCCTGACGCCCATCCCCACGCCCTGACCTCCGACCCCCGGCCCCCCCATCCATTGTTCGATCTCCATTTCCCTACCCTTCTGGATCCTCAGCTGCGCCGCCGACGCCTTTTTGCTGCTGCCCTTGGTGCCGCCCGCCGACTCCTCCTCCTTCTTCTGCTGCTTCAGCGAGAACAGCTTGATCATCCTGCCGCCGCCGCCGCCGCCGCTACCGCCGCGGGGCCCGGGACCCCGGCCACCCGGCCCCCCTCCGCCTTCCGCGCCGCCTCCGCTTCTTGGACCCGCCGCCGCGGCCTCCTCTGACGCTGCCGCCGCCCGCCCGGCTCGCCGCGCCGCTCCGCGCCCACCGCGCGACCCGCCTCGGCTCCCGTAGTCCGGCTTTGGCCTGGTCCGGCTTCTCGGGAGCGTTCGGGTTGACTCGGCTGCTCTCGGGTTGACTCGGCTGTTCTCGGACTGCGCTCGGCCCCGCCCCCACCGTGCCGCTCCCTGCTCCCTCTCAGCCGCTCAGGTCTCCTCGGGCCCAGCAATGGCTGCGAACGTGGTGATCCTTTGGCCGCGCCGCTCTCTTGCTCACTCGTTCCTTTCGCAAGGGGGCTGCTGTTCAGGGTGGAAGAAGGAGACGGTGGCCGCGGTAGTGTCGGACGTATCTTGGAGGAGGTTCGACTCCGGCGGCAGCCACGGGTTAGAGAGGAGGTCGCCAACGGCCTCAGGCGTCCCGCCACTTCGGGTATTTCCGCCGCTTCACTGCTGTCGCTCTTCCCGCCTGGTCTGTGCTCTGCGCCTGCGCGGCCACCGCCGCTACCGCGACTGAATTGCGTTGCTCTGGGATGGGGTTTGGAGTTCGGGTTCCTTCGGCTAGACTCGGCTATTTCCGTCCATGGGGGCAGTAGATGAGGTCGGCGGTCCAGCGGTCAATCCCGGAGATACTTGTGGATCCGAATAGGAGGTGTCCCCGCCATCTTTGAATGGGGCATATATACTCATCTTGCTCGCTGTAAGGCTATCACCACTTGTACGCCTGCAGAGAGCTGCAGGTGTGGGTGAGACGATGCCCCTGTTCCTGGAGGTAACATACAGAAACAAGGTGATAGCGCCTACAAGGACTTTGGTGAGGTTGGGGGCATTGCCAAGAGGGTGTGGGGTCGAGCACCCGCATTGTCCCATCACAAACCCAAAGGCCCCCATTTATGGACATTTTGGCCGAGTTCAGCCAACAATTAAAAATGTATTTTGACAGCGAGCGGTAGCAGCATGGACATATTCTGGGGTAGTTAGGTAAAATTCCCTGGCGGACAGAGCAGTCGAGATGCGGGGTTTGGACTTGATATTCAGCGCAGGCGCACTGCGTCCTTGGGCGTCCTTTCTTTGCTCTCAGGGGCGGAATGATGTGTAGGGTCATCCTCCTGTCCAATCACAGCTCAGTATCCCTCAGTGTGGGCGGGAATGGTAGGGGGTGGTACTGCTATCTCCAGCCGTCACCATGGCAACCATGGATTTGCAGAGGAAATCCTCCAGTAGGTGAGATGCTCTGCCATACCCCTCAGCTGGCCTGAGGTTAAACTAACCAGGCTGAGGTTAAATGCTCAGTAGTTCTTCTGCGTCCAATAGAAGTTTTGGGGATTGCATCACCGACCGTCACAGTGGTGACATCACCCATCAGATCATTCTGAGATGTAGTGGGGGTGGGTACAACACGGTGTGTGTGGTGTTATTGAACGATGAGCTTATGGACATTTTACCTAGGGGAGATGTCCTATGCCTCCAGACACTGGCGCCCTATCCTTGCCTCCTTGGACCCTTCGTAACTTTGGGCCCTTGACTGACCCTAGTTGTCGTTCTTCCCGCTTCATCCTTTTCCTGTGTTCTCAAAGCTGAGTTGCAGACCTGTCCAGTCTTTTTTCCCCACTAAACCTCCCTTTCCCTACCGCCCGAGGCAGTGGGGGCTTCCAAACCGATGCCTCCCAATTGCGTGTCTAGTGCCCTGATTGTCCCAGCCTCTGCACCCAACTGTCCTTTCTATGACTGAGTGCTGGAAACGAGCTGGGGTGAAGATGGGGAGCAGTCGTCTCAAAGAGCTCAGGTGTGAGGTCACCATGACTGGAACTGCTTAGTGTCCACGGGATTCAGTACTGGACTGGCTAGGGTTTTTGGCCAGCAGCTGCCCATTAGATTCTGGGCACCACAGTAATGTAAAGGGACTCCATACCCCATCAGGCAGCCAGCCATACCTCCAACTCTTGGCCATAGCAAGTCCTCCAGGGTCATGGTAGTACCAGGTTCTTTGCACACCTCCCCCCAAACCAGGCTCATCAGGCCCCTCAGAGACACACACTCAGTACCCCCTCCTCAAGGGTCTCAGACCAGGCTCATTGTTTTTCCTCCTCAGGGGTCTGAGTTGGAGCTCCATGAGGAATTCTCTTTTGTGTCTCCAGCCAAGGAGTGTAGTTGCTCCCTGCAATTTCGCCCTGCACAACAATGTCTTTTTAAATTTTTTGTATCCTTTATAGTTACCCATCAGTAATCTAATAGGTGACTCTTGGTATGTAATTCAGTTACACTGACTGATGGTGAGCAGAAGTGGCACCAGGTTGACACATGGCAGACTCACCATGCACCTGAATGCTACATTTCATCTTGGGTGAGTCTGGAAGGCTGAGGGGTGGCGCCTAGACACAGTTGGAGCTGGACTGCTTTGCCATCTCACTTTCCAGTCCACTATTTCTGGGTTATTTACCGTTCTTAAGCTAGAACTGCGGATGGGGGCCTCTGGTACCAGGAGAGACCCTTCAGATGTGGGCAGGCGACATTTGACCCTGGCCCTCTGAAGATCCACATGAGCGGAGAAGAAGTGGCTGCGGGAGTAGAGACCCAGTTTTCGTTTGATTTTATTGAGCACCTATTGGGGCCAGGCCCTGGGCGCATCTGCTTGTACTTATTTACGTGTATCTATGAGACAGGAGGTCTGTGAGGTCACTGCCCTGCGCCCATGGACAGAGGACAGACTGAAGTGCAGAGATGGGAAGCACGCCTGATGAGTGGTTACTGTGCACTGTGGACACGCTGGTGCTGGACGAGCTTAGTACTCTGGTGGAAGCGGCGGCCGCATTCCTGGCAAGCGAAGGGCTTCTCACGCCGGTGAGTACGCAGGTGCTGTGTGAGCGTTGGCCGCTGGCGGAAGGCTTTGCCACACTCGGGGCACAAGAAGGGCCGCTCCCCTGTGTGGATACGCCTGTGCTGTGTGAGATTGGCGTGCTGCCGGAAGCTCTGGCCGCACTCCGGACAGGTGAAGGGCCGCTCACCTGTGTGGATGCGTTGGTGCTCGGTGAGCCGGGACACCTGCGTGAAGCCTAGGCCGCACTCACCACAGTGGTAGGGTTTCTCGCCAGTGTGCGTTCGCTGGTGGCGCGTGAGCTTGAGGCGCTGGCTGAAGCGCTGGCCGCACTCGGGACACGCAAAGGGCTTCTCGCCTGTGTGTACGCGAATGTGCTGTGTGAGCGTAGGCCGCTGGCGGAAGGTCTTGCCGCACTCAGCGCAGGCAAAGGGCCGCTCACCAGTGTGGATGCGCCGGTGCTGAGTGAGGTTGGAGCGCTGCCGGAAACTCTGGCCACACTCAGCGCAGGCAAAGGGCCGCTCGCCGCTGTGCACGCGCCGGTGTTGCAGCAGCACCGAGCGGCGGCCAAAGCGCTCGCCGCACTCGACGCAACCGAAGGACTTGTGGCCCGTGTGCACTGCCTGGTGTTCCAGTAGTACAACGCGCCGCGTGAAGCTCTCCCGGCACTCGCTGCAGGGGAAGGGGCCTTGGGGCTCGGGCGCGCTGGGCGGCTGGAGGGGTATGGCGCCCGGGCCTGGGGGGTCGCCGTGGATGCGCTGGTGCTGTAGCAGGTTAGAGCGCTGTCGGAAGCTCTGGCCGCACTCGGTACAGCGGAAGGGCTGCTCCCCGGTGTGCACGCGGCGGTGTTCCTCCAGACGCGTGCTGCGCACGAAGCCCTGGCCGCAGTCCCCACACACGAATGGACGTTCCTCGGTATGTGTGAGCTGGTGGCGCAGCAGGTGTGAGCTGCGACTAAAGCTGCGGCCGCACTCGCCGCACACAAATGGACGCTCACCAGTGTGGATCTTCTGGTGACGTAGCAAGTTGCTGCGTTGGCTGAACACCTTGCCACACACATCGCAGCGGCCGCCCCGCACTGCGCTGGAGCCTGTGCTGGGGCGGCCCCGGCCGCGGCCTCTAGGGGCCCGCCAGTGGTCAGCGGCTGGCAAAGGTCCGGGACCGCACTGGGGATCCTCGCCAGTGGGCTCGTCATCTCCTGGATTACTGGGCAGCACAAGTCGGTGAGGGAGGCCTGTGTGTCCAGACACCCTGAGTTCCCAGGGGATGTAGAGATGGGGGTTCACGGTTACTGGATCTGTGGGTTCACTGTCCATTCGGAAAGCAAACTCTGTGTGACAGACACAAAGGGATCCACTCAGTCTTGCATTACAGAGTGCCTACTGTTTTCAAGGGTAATGTCAAGTAGAAATGGCCTAGGAGGGCGGAGGCGACAGGGTGGGGCAGGGGCTCTTTTCTGCACAGTGTCTTTTGAGGATGTGACCACAGGGCAGCCTGTTGAGTGGGCTGTGAAACCCTAAGGCTGAACTTTCCGGATCTGATTCGGGTTGACAAACTTCTGTTTTCTTTGAAGAGTCACTGTGAGCCCTGTAGTGGTCTCTACAAATGCAGAGAAGTGGGCAGATCTGAGAGAGGCTGCATGTGGAGCCAGAAGGCTAGAGTAGGATGAGGAGAGACAGGAGTACAGACTGCAATGCAGGACTGGCCTGAGGTGTGTACATGCCATGGCTGAATGTGCATGGGGCATCAGAGGGCCAGAGAAATCTCAGGTTCAGGGGCACACTCTGTGGGAAGATGGAATGGGCACCTTGGAATATAGGTGGCACATGGCTTTCGAGATTCTTACATGTAATCGACATAGGATGTCAACAGAGGAGAGAGATGTGCCCAGCATTGGATACTGGGTGAGGGAAAAGCAAAGACAACTGTTAAGCAGGGGCTGAAAGAAGAAGCTGGCGGATTCTAAATCACTGAGACCAAGAGAGAGGAGCAGGGCTGCAGTGGATGACAGGAAACCCACAAAGTGTCCAAGAAAACATCAGCTCCATTCTATTGCATCAAAGTAAATCATTTATGCACTGCAAAAATGACCTCACACAGTCAAGAGACACACTGAAAAACTCACCAAAAGCAAAGGGTTAATTAAACTCATTAGTCAAGAGCTCCAAATCAACAAGGCCAATGACATAACAGAAATATGGCGGAGGATGTGCTCAGGTAAAGAACTGTAATTAATGCTTAAATCCCACAAAATGTGTTCAGCCCCCTCCTGATAAGAACAATACTTATTAGAGCTTCTATACCCACATTGCAGGGACCCACAGCTTACATGCATTGATTGTTGTTGTGAAGCATTATTGAATCAATTCCAACTCATAGCAACCCTATATAGGGTTTCTAAGGAGTGGCTGGTGAGTTTGAACTGCCAACCTTGTGGTTCAAACCGACCTAGCAGATCAGCGCTGTATCCTAGAGTACCACATGCACTGATGGTGAGTGTCACTAGCAGTCCATTGTGGCAAAATCCAAAATGGCAAATGTCTCTTGCTCTTTGACCCAGCAATTCCATTTGTAGATACTTCTGTAACGGTCATGTTCTCCCATGACCTATGCATGAAGTTTCTGAGAGAATCACTGATAAGCAATCCAAAGAAACGCTGATAGGAATCTTGATAGATAAATAATGGTACATTCACTCATTGGGGTTCTGTGTAGCTGTAGAAAGACTGGGGGCACTCACTTCTGTGTGCTAAAGTGGGAAGATGTATGAAAAATAACAGGTATGGAAAACAGTGGATTAGGAACATGTGTGTTTGAAAAAAGGAAAATAACTATGTATGGATATATATGTTTGTTCCTTTATGCAACACACAATTTTTTTTCTGGAAAGACACATAAGAAACTGGTAGCGTTGGCTGCTGGAGAGCAAGATTGAATGGCTCAGACATGCCACTCTACACTCCCTTGTGCCTTCTGAATTTTAATGCATGCATTAACTATTCAAATATTTTTCCCATGATGAAACCATTAAAAGATCTCTCTGGCTGTGCAGAAGTAGATGTTGGGGTGCTAGGGGAGCAACTGGGTGACCTGATGGGGAGTCCAAGGTGGTCAAGAGGATTCCATCTAGGTAGAGAATGCAGCCTGGAAAGAGAATGGCGTTGCAGAGAAGGGACTAGTGAAGGAACCTGAGGTGGTGCCGCTGGTGGGGCTCGAAGAAAGTCAAGAGAATGTGGGTTGTGAACTGAGAGAGAAGCAGATTCAAGCAGAAGGTGCAGTCGTCCATGTAGCGTTGAGTGGACTGAGCTGGGCTGTTAGAAGCCAGGAGGTGGCAGAAAGGGCATATGCTGGGTCCCACCCTCTGCTCCAACTCAGAAATGATAGACAAAATAGAAGAAGGACTTTTAAAATACCTTGGACAGCTCCAAAGCAAGAAAGGGTAGCCAGTGAGATTTGAGAACCAAGAGCCTGGTGGTGTAGTGAACTGTGCAGAAGCCCTAAGGCTTTGAAGACCTAGAGACAGGGGCTGGCCCAGTCAAGAAGCTGGGGCCAATAACAGGGGCTGGGTTAGTTAGCCCAGTTCACCCATAGATTTGCTAGGATAAAACTACTTGCCTTTGGCTGGGAGGGCAGGCAGCTGATAATATACAACCAATAGGAAAACTCATACCCGAGAAAACTGAACTAACTGATTTGTCTGGAAAGGACCCTAGATAGAGCATGAGAATTGACACCCCAAAAACAGAGCTAATGATTAACCTGGAAGTAGGGCCCTAAAGTAGTTGTAAATTTTGCAAGGAGGGATCAGCACTGGTAAAACAAGGATATTATGGGGGAAAAAAAAAACACCTAGCTGTTAGGGTCTTCAGTACAGGCTGTCCCTGGATTATGAATGATTTCTACTCCTAAGTCTGTAAGGTGAATTTACACATTAAGTTGGAATAGCTAGGTATGGTTTGTATCAAATGTCAGTCACAGAGTCCTGGTATGGCGCAGTAGGAGAGTACACTGGACCGCAAGGTCAGTTTGAACAGCAAGGTTGACAGTTCAAACTCACCAGCTGCTCCTCAAAAACCCTAAACAGGGTCACTATGAGTTGGAACTGACTCAACGGCAACTAACAATGACAAACGTCAATCAAATATCTGTCTTAGTAAATTAGTATACAATGTACCTTTTTCTGCATAAAAACATGAAACAGTATTAGATACACTAAAACATTTCCATCATAATACAGTAACAATAATGACAATGTTTGGATGCCTGTTGCAAAGTAATACCCATTTTTTATTACAAATTATGGATTGAGTGTAAAGCCAACATTTCTAACCTGAGGTCTGCCTATAATAATAATAATAATAATAAATCCGCAGCAAATGGGGATCACTAAGTAACAATGGCATCTAATCAAATTTTTGATAAATGCTCCATTTTTGAAACCCCAGTAAAATCTACAACAAAGCTTAAAATTTTCCTTTTCTTAAGGCATGAAATGTACAAAGGTGGGAAGAAGAGGAAAGGAAACCAAAAACCGTGAGATTTTTTTTTTATTATTGAAAGTAGATGAACATACAGCAGATCTGAGAAAGTACACACTAAGCCAGCCATGTGAAATGCTTAAAAAAGAAAAAGAAAACCAACCTTTTGTATCCTCAAGAAACCTCTAAAAGCTCACGAATGGATTGGGCTGGGTACTCGGCCCATATGGATGAAAGAGCAGGAAACCTGATGGGCAGGCTGCTTCCAGAGCCCAGGCCGGGTGGGGCTGCTGCACCACGCAGCTCTGCTTGCTGTCTGCACAGAATTCGGAGCAAACAGTAATAGCTACAGGACTCCACTGCTGTGCTGTGCTCTGGATTACTGGAGCTCTTCTCCCACTGTGGCAAGACTCTGTTCCCAGGATGCTGACGGGAGGATAGAACCATCTTCTTGGAGAACTCACATCTACCCCAAGAGAAAGGAACTGAAGACACTTGCAGTGGTGAGGGGGTACCGCAAGACATTCCAGTTAGATCACCCTATGGATGCCTCAACAGTGTCCACTCACATTCCAGCTGTCCCTCATGTCCTTGAAGTAGCTATCCTTGGAGGCACATGTCCTTCCTGCCCCTTGTTTGCTCTCACAGGACAAACCCCTCTCCTATGTGGTCAGAGCAGCAACTAGGTTTTTGTAGCTCCTCTAAAATGTTGTTAAGTGCCGTCGAGTCGGTTCTGACCCATAGCGACCCTGTATAGGGTTTCCGAGGGTGTAAATCTTTACAGGAGTAGAAAGCCTCATCTTTCTCCTGCGGAGCAGCTGGTAGTTTTGAACCGCTGACCTGAAGGATCGCAGCCCGATTCATAACCACTACGCTACCAGAGCTCCAAATTAGAGGAAACAGAGACCATACTGGAAGGAGAAAACGTAAAAGTCAATTATTACTACTTTCAAATAAAAAGGTGCCCTGGAAGTGTAATGGGTTTGAATTGTGTTACTAACAGCAAGATACGCTGTTGGACTCCACCAGCTGTTCCACAAGAGAAAGATGAGGCTTTCTGCTCCTGTAAGGATTTACAGCCTCAGAAACCCTACACAAGGTCACTATGAATTGGAACAGATGCGATGGCACACCACCACCACCACCACCATCACCACCACCAAAGAAATAATAAAAGGCATTAGAACGGAAAGGACAGGAAACTATTATAGAAAAGGGTATGCAGGGAAGAATATGTGCTCTTTGAAAACAAAACCTGTGCCTGCAGAAATGAGAATCTCAAAAGATCTAGAAGATAAAACTTAGGATATTTCATAGGAAGTAGAGACAGACAAAGGGATGAAAAGAACTTTAGAGGATCCATTCCAGAGCCCACACAACCATCTAACATTCATTCCTGAAAGAGAAAGTACACGCCATATACAAAAACCAACTCAACATGGATTAAAGACCTAAATGTGAATCCCTGAATTATGAGGGCCATCAATGAAGAAATCGGGACAAATGTGAGGGCACTAATTCAGGGAAGACACAGACTACCAAACATTTTGAAAACCACACAAACAAAACTAGACAAAATAGATGAGTGGGGCATACTAAAAATTAAAAACATGTGCATCAAAAGACTTCACCAGAAGAGTAAAAAGGGAACCCACAGAATGGGAAAAAATCTTTTGCAATGACATATCAAACAAGGGACTCATTTTTAAAATATATAGGAAACTACCGCACCTCTACAAGAAAAAGACAAATAACCAATTAAAAAATGGGCACAGGACATGAACAGATACAGACACATCACCAAGGAGGAGATCCAGGCAGCCAACAAACATATGAAGAAATGTTCACAATC